CAGGAGCCACGCGGGCAGCTCACTGGGGGCACCTCTCAGTGGGCTGCAGAGCATTGCAGGCAGGCAGCTGGGGACCAGGGGCCCAGCCCCAGCCCCTGCTGCTGAGCTTGGGGCCAGGGGCTGCCCCATGCTTCAGGCCCCATGGGTTCCCCTCCAGGCCAGATGACTTTGACAGGAGCTGAGAGTGCAAAGGACAAGCCCACCTGCCCGCCCCAGCCAGTGGCTGCAGCCAGCTGGTATGCGGCAGCTAAAATTACCGCAGCCTGACACGGCCCCTGTGCAGAACGGGGCAGCTGGCAGACCAGGCAGCACTCAGGGCTGCTGCGGGCTGGGACACCCGTGGGCGCAGGGCGTGAGCGCGGGCGCAGCGGCAGAATGCTGGCCTTCGTGACCCAGCTGCTGATCACCCTGGTGCTGCTGGGCTTCTTCCTGGTGAGCTGCCAGAACGTGCTGCAGATCGTCCGGGGCTCCGTGCGCTTCCTGCTCAAGCATGTCCACCATGAGCTGGACAAGGAGCTGGGCGAGAGCGAGGGGCTGGCGGACGACGAAGAGTCCGTCTCCACCAGGGTGGTCCGCCGCCGCGTCATTGTGAAGGTAACAGGGCTGTCCATGGCCCGCCGAGGCCCCCATCCAGCTGTCCTGGCCCCGAGCCGCTGCCCCCCCTCCGTCCTCTGTGCTCACAGAGCGCAGCAATGGCCCTACCAACCCCCACTCCTGCATAGCAGCCAGGGCTGCTCCGGGAGGCATCATGCGATGCGGGGGGTGGGGAAAAGGGGAGCAGGTCGTCTTTGCTGCCCCACAGGGGCTGGTGCTTTCCCAGGCCACATCTAACAGTGTCCTGGGCCGCAGGGGCCCTCGGCCTGCCTCACTCTGCTCTGCCCACAGGGCAACGAAGTGCAGGACATCCCCGGGGAGCAGGTGACAGAGGAGCAGTTCACTGATGAGCAGGGCAACATCGTCACCAAGAAGGTGAGTGGGGGCAGCCCTGGGGCAGTTGGGGGATCCTCTGGGCCCCCCTCTGCTCTGGGGACTGCCACGGGCCTGCAGGGGAGCCCGGGGTAGAGGCAGGCATGCCCTGGGCACGCTGTGAGCAAGCAGAGTGGGACAGGCTGGCCGTGGTGACCCGGCACTCTGCGCAGATCATCCGGAAGGTGGTGCGGCGGCTGGGCCTAGATGAGGAGGACGATGAGCGAGCACGCGAGGAGGTGATCCTGGAGGGCTCCCTGCAGGAGGCCCAGGAGCTGGAGGCCGAGGCTGAACACTTCATGAAGTATGGCCTGCTGCAGCACGACAGCCTGGGCAGTCAGGTACCGCTCGGCCCCTGCCCCTGCCCCTGCCTCTGCCTTTCTGCTTCCACCCACGATGCTCCTCTCCTCTCCTCTCCTCTCCCCTGCACACCCGCTCCCAGCTCTGGCTCAGCACCTTCTGCCTTCTGACTCTCCTTTTCCTCTCCTGTCCTCTCTGTCCATCTGTCTCTCTCTCTCTGTCTGTCCTTGGGCGTGCTGCTTCCTGTCTGCTGTGGTGCCAGGAGGAGGTGCGTGGGCGCAGCCCGAATGCGGAGCTCATCGGGGGCAGGATGGGGGCTCACATAGTGAAACGTGCCAGCCTGAAGCGGGGGAAGCAGTGACCCCGAGTGGCCTCTGTCGAGGTAACGCCACCAGCATGCTTGCCTGGCCCCGCACCTACTGCAGCCCGGCACGGGGCCCCTTGGGATGACCTTGGCCATGGCACCCTGGAGGGAGAGAGACCATGGCCATGCCGTTGTGACACATGCACTGGCCTGCTGAGCGCCTGCCTGGTGCTGCCAGCAAGGGGTGCTGTGTGTGCTGCACACCCCATGCCAAAACTAGTGCCCGCCCAGGCCAGACACAGCCAGTCCCTGCACCAGCCTTCCTGGAGCATCCCAGTGGGCTCTGGGCACCAGAGGGCAGCACGGAGGCTGGCTCGCCCACAGCGCAGACCCACCGAGCTGAGAGGATGGCCCAGGCCTCCTGTGGGTGCAGCTCCTACAGCAGCACAGCCGTAGCAGGCCGATGCATGCCTGTGCACAGGCAGGGATGTGCCCACGTGCCATCTGGCTCCAGCACAGTCCCCAGGGGTGCCTGCGCGGGGCCTGGGCTCTGGCAGCTGGGAACAGGGCATCCACTGTGGGGGACAGCTGCCCCTCCAGCCTCCATGTCACTCTGTGTGCCAGTGTGGCGTGGCCCCTGCTGCCTGGGCCCAAGCAGTCTGTGCCCGGTGGCACAGGACCTGTGGTGCTGCAGGGGCCCAGCAGGTGGCTTGGCCAGCTGCCCGCGAGCACCGCCCTGCCCTGGCCCCCAGTAACCCCCTCCCTGCTCCCTCCCTCCTCAGGACCTCACCTCAACACCAACCCACTGATCTGCACACGCGTCCTGACCCCCACAAGGAGACGCAAGAGCCGAGCGCCGGCGGGAGCGGGGCCGGCCGTACGTGTTTCTATAGGCTACCGGCATGATTTCTGTACGAGACTTACTTACCGTCCTATTCGCATGATTGACTGATGCAGACGCATGAGCTACAGTACGTACTACCGACTGGGGGCCCTGCACGGCCAGGAACCCAGGAGACCGGTCCTGGGGCCTCCCGGCCCCACCGGGGAGGTGTGGGCCAGGCCGGTGGCAGGTACCGTGGGCAGGGTGGAGACGGCGCCACGGCCAAGCCCCGTGGGGTGTCTGCAGATACATGGAGCCGCCCACGGCCAGGCAGCCCCGACTCGTCTCCCTGGCCTCCCCGCCAGCCTCGCCATCTCACCCCTCCCCGTGAGTGCTGCGGGCGTGGGGAGCAGGCCCCATGCCGGCAGGGGCAGGCAGAGAGGGCCAGGCTGCAGCAGCTGCCCAGCGTGGGTAGGTGGGCAAGCCCCCGAGTAAGGGGAGGGCACTGGGCCGAGGGCCGAGCCCGCTGCTTGTGTTGAAAGTGTAAACTGTACAGTACTCAGCCTTGTGTATATGAACAATAAATACTATGCAAACCCGGGATGCTCCCGCCATGTGTACGGAGCACCGACAGCTCGGCCTTTGGCCAGTGGCAGGGCAGGGCAGGGCGGCTTGTGAGCCCACAGCTCCAGCCCAAGGGGCCCTGCAGGAGTGGCCAGGCACAGGCCCGCTGCCCATGTGCGCCTGCTCACTCCCTGCCACCCACACAGGGGCAAGGGTGCTGGCTGCCTCCCACCTTCATCAGCCCCCACCATGGGTGGTGCCAACCCACCCAGCACAATGTCATCTCACAGAGACAGGAGGGGTCATGGTGCTGCAGCCCTCCCCTCTGCGCCGGCCCCCGTCGGCCTCCACAGGCGGGCGGCCACACTAGCACAGCCCAGCAAACGCTGACCCTTGCAGGACCAAGCCCTGTGCCTCGGCACAACAGCATTGCCCAGGGACCTGCCCCTGCATATCCCCGTGGGACAGTAAAGCCACTGCCCCATCCTGGCCCCAGCCCAGCTGTCCATGCCTGTATCCAACCTGGCAGGAGCTGGGGCAGATGCAGAGACCTGGGCTATTTTAAGGCATTTGGTAGATGGAGTCTGCTGCAATACATGACCCCTGCTGGCAGGTCACAGGCAGGGGCAGTGGCTGCTACCTTCCCTGCCCCCACGTCCTTCACCCGCCCCCAGGCCCCGGGCACAGCAGAGGCGCCTGCAGGGATCTCAGGCTCTGCATCTTCCTGGGGGCTGATGTGGCCCTGGCAGCCACATGCAGCCCACACACCGTTGCCGACATGGACCGTGAGGCATCAGGCAGGCAGCCCCCTGCCCCTGCTGCCAGCGGAGGTGTCGGTGCAGGGAAGTGAGCAGGCAGGGCTTGGCCTTGGGGAGCGCCGCGTGCACGGCCAGGGGCGCAGTACGTCCATCCCTCCCCTCTTTCTGCAGCATAGTTGCCCCACCCCGCCAAGGCCACCGGCAGCCCCGTAGTGTAGTGTGGGTCCCGCGCTTCGGCCTCGCGTGCTCGTAGGGCATGTGCTCGCCGCTCGCATCGCTGGCAGGGCCGCAGGGGCCGCGCTGGCCTGACGCCTAGGGCATGCCGCCACCGCCCGCGCGCTAGACGCTTTTTAGACATTTTACAGTTCTGTTGACTTCCTTTTTTATTGTTATGGGAACGAGCCTCGGGGACCCCGTCCCCGGCGCAGCCCCGATGTATAGACCATTCCCTGTACACCAGCTACCGACTATGACTTAATAAAGAAACAACACCGCTCCGCCTCCTCTCTGCTTCTCTGTGCGCAGGGTGGGTGGGCAGGGGAGGACTCCGGGACACATCCAGCCCCCAGGGCAGGGGCAGCAGGGACCAAGTAGGGGCCTATCCTGTGCCCTGGCTGCACATGTGCTGTGGCAGGAGGGAGGACTGCAGACACTAAGGGTCCCTGGGGCTTGGGGCCAGCGAGGGAGCTGGAAGCGGGTGACGGGCCAGGACTGGGAGGTGACTGTTGACTGCCCTGCGTCCGGCCAAGGCCCAGGTCCCCATGTGGCCACAGCAGCCTCTTCCCCAGCTAGGGAAATGGCTTCTTACCTGCAGCCCTTTGTTATCACGCAGTGTCCAGCCGGGTGTCCGTGCACGTGCATGTGGGCCTGGTGCAGCCAGCTCCTGCTCGCTCTGTCCCCCGCGGTCCCTGGGGCAAGCGCTGTCCAGCACCGCAGATGCTGCGGGGGCTGCAGCCCAGGAGCTGCGAGCTGCCTCTCCTGGCCAGGGGCGGCCCCAGCTGCAAGCAGGCTTTGTCCAGTCACTGCCCCACGTCCCAGGGGTCAGTCCCACCAGGCAGCTGCGGCGGGGCCAGACGCGCACACAGCTGACCTGCTGCGGACACGCACTGAGCAGCCCCCATGCACCCGGCAGCCGTCACATCTGCAAGACCGTGGCATGTGCGGGCAAAAGCACACCTGCCAGCCAGCTGCCCCACACACAGGACTCGGGCCTGCCCCACAGTCACCCCACACAGCAACTGACCCTCCCTACGTGTGCATGCATGCATGCATGCGCGCGCACACACACACACACACCCACACACACACACGCACGCACAAACAAAAGCCAGAGGTGAGGAAGCATAGACATGTTGCGTTGATGTGCACACAAGTGCGCTTCCTGTGCATGCATGTCCCACAGGGCATGTGCACTCGCAGACATGCAGGTGACATGCAGCCTGCTGGCTCTGCCCCTTCTTTTCCCAGGCAAGGGGGTGCATACCAAGGGGTGAGAGCCCAGGCACCATCTAGCCCCTGGCCCATTGCCTCACCCATGCCCAGGCCCGTATCCATCCGGCACCCCAGCCTCGTGCGCTTCGTGTATGGCCAGCGTTGCATGCAGCAGCCCAGGTCCCGGGGCCAGCACCTACAGCGCAGGTGGCACCGGGCTGGGCCGGCAGGAGCTAATGAGCCGGCAGCCATGGGGCCTGTGCAGCCGGTCTTTCAAACTGCAATTTGTCTAGGGTGAGCCAATCCTGGACCGGGCCTGTCACCCGGCCAATGGCCGTGGGAGCCGTGGCCGCCTGGCCAATGGGGGCCCAGTATTCTAATGGACCACGTCTTTATCAGAGAAATGTTGCTTCGCCTGAAGTTAAACTTGGGTGGCAGGGGCTGGGGCGCAGCCGCTCCGGTGCAGGGACCCCAGCCGCGCCGCCACCCCCACCGCCGCCGTCGCATGGGTGCACCTCGCCTGGTGCTGCACCGCTCCTGCCTGCCCATCCTCCCCGGGGAGGTGTGTGCCACCTGGCCGTGGCGGCGCTCGCTGGCAGTGGCTGGCGCCCGTGCGTTACACTAGGGCGTGGCAGGACCGTGGCTGCCCTGTAGGCTCCAGGCTGCTGGGGATGGGCATGCTGCAGCACGGCGCGGGGCTGCAGCGCTGAGGGCAGTCTGGGCGTGGTGCTGGCCGGCGGTGGCGGTGGAGCCATGGACTCCAACCTGCAGGGCACCTTTCTGCTGAACGGCCCCTCGCTGGGCCCCTTCCCCGAGGTGAAGGCGCCTGTGTGCCAGTACTCGGTGCAGAACTCCTTCTACAAGCTCAGCCCCCCGGCCCTTGGCGCCCAGCTGGCGGCTGGCACGCCCCACGGCATCACCGACATCCTGAGCCGGCCGGTGCCGGCGCCCAGCGGCAGCCTCCTCTCGGGCTACCCACATGTGGGAGGATTTAATGGACTGGGCTCCCAGGGCGTCTACTATGGCCCCCAGGCTGGGAGCTTCGCCAAGGCGGGGGCCGAGTACCCGTCCCGGGGCCGGAGCTGCTGGGCAGACACCGGGCAGGACTGGCGCGGCGTCCGGCAGTGCGGCAGCAGTGAGTACCATGGGCAGGGCAGCGTGGGGTGGGGAATGGGAGGCAGTTGCAGGAGCCCAGGGCACTGCAAGAGGGGGCCCAGGTTTGGCATGGCATTTTTCCCCCCACCCTCCAGCTTGCCCTGCCTGGGGGAGCACGGCACGGCACCGGCGCTGCTTGGAGCCGCACGACTCGGGTCCCTAGGGGATGAGTGGCCAGGCGGAGTGGCTGCACCTTCCTGCCCTGCCCCCCAGTCATGACGGCAGGTCCCCCGGGACTGAGGGGACGATTCCTGCACTGCTGCTGCGGGCACACGGGGAGCCACTGCACGACAGCCGCAGACTCTCTGCTGCACTGGGAGAGAGGGGGAGGCTCTGGGGACCCTGCAGAGGAGCCCTGCTTTCCTGGGAGTGGGAGCCCAGCACCACTTCCCGCTCCCCACAGCCCCGCGCACCCCAGCTGGCCCCGGGACAGCACAAGGGAGCCGCCAGCTGGGGGCCCCGCAGCAGCCGGTGGGGTCCCCGGGCTGGGGAAGCATCTTCAATGCTGAACCAGTGGTCTCAGCCCCAAACCAGCACTAGGACTCCCCTAGCCCTGAGCCCTAAGCCCCCTCCCCACACCTTCCCTATGTCTCTCAGGCCCAGCCAGCCCTGAGGGGGGCATGGGGGTCCAGCGCAGGGGCCACCTGGGCTTGGGTGCCGCAGCAGCCACACATCCCCCCACCGGGTTCCTGGCAAGCACTGGGCTCCTAGGGTGCGGGGACAGCCCCAGCAGGCAAGCTCCGACCTCAGGGGCAGCGAGGCAGGCGCCCATGTCTCTGGGTGCTACCCGGTGCGGTGCCCGGAGCTCTTGGTGGCAGGCAGGGACCGCGTCTCTGGGTAGGGAGTGTCGCCCTGGGCTGCCCAAGCCCCCCTGCTGCACAGGTCCCCAGTGGAAGAGGGGGCAGGGCTGCGCCCCGCCATTGTGGGAGCAATCCGGAAACAGGGGAGCTGCAGCGCCTTCTCTGGGGCAGCTGCGACATGGGCGGCCTGCGGGGGTGGGGGTGGGCAGCAGGGGTCTACACTGGGCAGCAGGGAGCTGGGGGGGTGCATATGGGAGCTGTGGTCACGTCTCCCTGCAGGGTGGCTGCCTGGGAGGGGCAAGGGCCAGTCCCGGAGCTCAGCCCCCCTCTCCCCGCAGCCCCCGCGCACCTGACAGACAGCGTCCACAAGAAAAAGCACACGCGCCCCACCTTCACCGGCCACCAGATCTTCGCGCTGGAGAAGACCTTTGAGCAGACCAAGTACCTGGCGGGGCCCGAGCGGGCGCGGCTGGCCTACTCCCTTGGCATGACGGAGTCCCAGGTGAAGGTGAGTGCCAGGCCTGGCCAGGGTGCCTGGGGGCAGGGCGCATGGCCTGGCGCCCCGTGGCCTGGGGCCGGGAGCCGGGCGGTGCAGGCAGGGCCGGGCGCGGGGGCCTGACGCTGTGCCCTCCACGCCAGGTGTGGTTCCAGAACCGCCGCACCAAGTGGCGCAAGAAGAGCGCGCTGGAGCCGTCGTCGTCATCGCAGCTGCAGCCGCAGCGGGCGGCCGGCGGGGAGCGCGGTGCCTCTGAGCCCGAGGACGATGAGTACAACAAGCCGCTGGACCCCGACTCAGATGACGAGAAGATCCGCCTGCTGCTGCGCAAGCACCGTGCCGCCTTCTCAGTGCTGGGTCTGGGCGCCCACAGCGGCTGAGCCTGCCACCAGCCCTCGCCTCGACCAGAAGCTGCCGGGGTGGGGGGGCGCGTGGGAGGCAGAGCCCGTGCCTACGTCCTCAGGGCTGGGCTGCCCATGCAGCGTTGCCGGATGGCCGGCCCAGCCCGGCTGCAGGGTGCGGCAGCCACAAGTGCAGGGCCAGGGGCTCTGCACCGACGGGGCGGGGGCCGTGCCTCAGCATGTCTCGGGGCAGCCAGCGTCAGCATTGATGAAATAAAGGTCCCAGCCAGGCGTCCAGGTGGTGCTTCCGTGGGGCGCGGTGCAGCTTGCAGCTCGCGGCGGGGGTTGCAGCCAGGAGGGCCGGCGCTGCCCAGGGAGGGGGCACAGGGCCAGCTCTGCTGCAGCAGGCTGCATGGCTCCTGAGGTCCCTGCTCGCTGCCGGCGCTGGGAGAAGGGTGGAGGAGCAGGGCTCCAGAGGTCACGGCTGGTCCCGCCCTGGCAAGGCCAGGCCGGCCCCTGCCTGTATAACTCCTCCGTGCAGCCAGCCCCGATACAGCCCCAGCGCCGGACCACGGTAGCCACATCCTGCTACTGCGAGATGTTAAAATCGGCTCCAAAGATCCAAAATCAGCGGGGCCAAGAGCCTGCAGTTTGCACGTCAGAGCCAAGCAGGGCCCAGAAGGCAGCACTGCCGTGGGGGAGCTCGCAGCCCTGATGCTGCTGGCAGCTCCCGGCACGGGCACTCGCACGGGGTTGGGGGGCCCCTTCTTTTTTTGCCTGTGCCTGGAGTTTGCACTGGGGCGTTGCCTCCCTCGCTCCTCATTAACCTGGCGCTGACCTCTGTCCCTGGAGCTGCCATGCTGCAGGCGTCACGCACCCCTGCTTCCACCCGCCCAGGGCTCAGTGCTGGGGTCCTGGGGCCCGGCAAGTGGGATGTGTTGCTGGGGTCCCAAGGAATGCCCCTTGCCACCCCCGCCCGTGCCAGTCCAGAGCTTGTCCCTGCCCTGGGGTGTGGGCCCCAGCCCTTAAGACCCAGGTGTAGGCCAGGCATGGGGCTGCTGTGGCTGCCCCTGCCCCTGCAGACGTGGCGGGTGGACAGTGCTCCCGTCATCCAGCCCCAGGCCTGATGCTTAGGGTGCAGGATAAAGCCCCCCGTGGGGCAGGCTGCCTGGCTCCTCCTAGCACCGAGCCCCTGCGCCTGGAGCAGCTGGAGCCCTGGGAGCAAGAAGGCCCAGGCCCACTCCTACTATGGCAGGTATTTGGGGCCCTGCCCAGGATGGGCTTCAGCATGGGTTTGAATCCTCTTTTCCAGCCCGTGCTGGGAGGCCCCAGTCCACACCCATGTGGCAGCAAGCAACGGCATGGCTCCCCCAAGTGCCACCCGTGCCTTGGAGTGACGTGCTGGCATGGCCTCAGCCACGACGGTGCGGGGCCAGGGCCAGGAGTGGGAGCACTGCCCGGTCCGTGGGGTAAGTGCACACGCCTGGCCCTGGCCCTGGCCCTGGCCGGAGCCCGGCTCCAGCCCTGGGGCTGGGTGTTTGCTGCTGGGGGCTGACGCCGGGGGCCCAGGCCAGCCCCCACTTCACACAGCGGGCAGAGGGGGCGGCACAGCAGTGCCCCCTCCCAGCGCCGGGCCGGGAGAAGAGGAACAAGGGTAGTGGGGCTGCCCGACGGCGCAGGGAGAGGCGGGGGCACAGCCAAGCTGCACCCAGCCGAGCCTTGTGTCGGTGGGGTGAGGGGCAGTCAGCCCTTAGCCCCAAGCAGGGGGAAGGGGGGAAGCAATTAAGGGCCAATTAAAGCCATTTGCTGGCTTCTTAGGAATGGGGGGGGGGCTTGAAATAAGGCCCATTAGGGTCAATTAAGCTCTTCCCGTTGTGCCAGGAAGGAAATGCGGGGGGCCAGGGCATGGGGGAGCCGGCCGGGAGCCTGGAGCAGGGCAGTGCCCGGCCGGGGGGGGCCGGGAGCGGGTTCAAAAGTCGCCGGCGAGGCCTCTCGCTGGAACCGATTAGCAGCGAGCAAACATCATTTATCTTGCGCGCTGAGCGGAGCCCATTCACCTGTCGCAGCCGCACGATTGATGCCGCGT